TACACTGAAGCACTCAAGCAAAATTCCATTATCTTTTTTTTTTTTAGTTTTTATTGTGAATTATGTGATAGTTTACATGATGGAACATTAGCTTTACATTAATCCTATCGTATTTTGTTCATTGCAATGATTACAATCCCCTTCAAGCATCATCAAACAACCAAAGGGTACACCCCGCAAGCCTATCCCCCTGCTGTCAGCACACAAGCCCTCTCCCTCCCTAAGTCCAGAGTCCTCAGCAGATCCATCTCTTCATGTCATCATCTCTGCCTCTATCTCTGGCATCACTGCTTCTCTGGATAGGGTTCTGCACTCTGCTCTTCCCCTTGCTGGCCCCAGGGACCTCTGCTTCAGGACTGTAAAATCAACTACTACCCTCCTTTTGTTACAAAACGTCTACCTTTACATTTCCAACCCTCACAGTCAGTTCTGATAGTAATTATTCACTACTGTACCACAAGAGTCTTATTCCCATTTCCTTTCACCAGCCCCTTCCAAACAGGTTGGAAACTACTCAGTGGAGATTCTACCTTCCCCCGCACCCTCGGGAACTAGGTTCCCTCTTGAAAGCTTATAAGCCAGCCACTTCTTGCCTTTATAGCCCCACAATTTTGGGTAGGCTAACTTGCCCATCCTGTCAACCCTATGTACCGAGGGGTTGGGAATGTTCCTCACAGTAAAGATTTGTTCCCTCTTTTTTTTTTTTTTTTTTTAAGGTTTTTATTGTAGATTGAGTGAAAGTTTATAGGGCAGATCATCAGTTTTACATGCGACAAATCATACACCTTGTTTCATTACAATGATTATAATCCATTTCATGTACAGTGCTTTTCTCTATTCACTTTAGCTCTTAAAAAAAAAAAAAAAAAAAAAAAAAAAAAAAAAACTCAGGTATATATGCTAATTTACACCTCCAAAGGGCACATTCTGCATGTCTGCCTCCTGGCCACCAGCTCTTAGTCCCCCTCTTCCCATGAATCTAGAGTCCTCAGCCGCTCCTTCTCTCCATGTCCCCATCTCTGCCTCTGTCTCTGGTGTTGCTGCTTCTCTGGATAAGGTGCCGCATTCTGCTTGTGCTCTTCACCCTTGATGGTCCTAGAGTCCTCTGTTTCTGGACTGTAAGATTAACCACTCCCCTGTTTTGTTACAATTTGTTACAATTTGTTACAATTGTGACAGTTGCAATTACTCATGATAACAATTACTCACTATTGAATCATAAGAATTTTAGCGCCATCTCTTTTCACCAGACCCATCTAGACAAGATGAAACTATTCAGTGGGGACTCTTTTTCCCCCACACACTCTTAAACTAAAGTCCCTCTTGAAACCTTGTAAGCCAGTGACTTCGTGCCTTTATTGCCTCATTTTAGGTAACCAATGATTAAGTTGCCTGTCCCTATCTAAGCTATGTACACAGGGGATAGTATTGATATTTGATGTGAAGCCTCCTTCCCTCTCTGTTGGTATTTATAGTGTAGGACCAAGAAAAAGACTCCATTCTGTACATTAGCCTGAACACATCCTCCTGTTCCAGGAACGTGCTAAATCAGCTCATGCTGCCTTAGAATATCCTTTCACCCCTAGCAAAAGCAAGAACTAGATAAGCAATAGACAAGACAACCCAAGGCCAGATGCCAGATATTTTCCTTATCCTAGCCTAAGAACAAAAGACCTCCAGTACTGACCAATTAAACTGTAACTTCTCATACTTTGCCAAATGTCAACCAATCCAAATATTTTAAAGCTGAAAAACCTAAGCTTGTTTGAAAACTCTATAACAACTCTGCTAACAAAGAGCTCAGGGCCTTTTCCCTAGTCCGCTGTGCCGGATACCGAGAAGGCCCAGGCTCGAGCTTGAATAAACCCTTGTGCACTTGCATCGGCGTCAGCTCCTTGGTGGTCTTTGGGGACCCTGAATTCTGGCATAACAATAGTTACTACCTCCATGAGTATCAGTCAAGTTCATCAAATTGTAGCAATTTACCCTTGTTTCCTTTATATAAAACAAAAAAATTATTTATTTTTTAATCCTCCTCTAGTCATCTGCAAGTTTGGGTGTTCTTGTGCATCTCCCCTCACTTCATATCAGTTGGATGCTTTACTCTCAGCTCTAGCCCTCTGTGGCTATGTCCTTGTCAATGGGCTCAAGTGTCCACACTTGGGAGCAACCAGCCCTTCCTCTTCTCTCTCTCATCTCCAGGTCAATGGGATCAATGGACTGTGGTAGAACTCAGCCCATTTCATCATTGCTGCCTTTCCTCCTCTTCCATTCACCAGTAGACCAATGTGGTTACCAGCAGGCTTATATACCACTCATGTGTTCCTTTTGAGTTTCAGTCTTAGAGGGCAGTTTGTCCTGAAGGAACTTGATTGCTTGCCTTGATGGCTTCCTGGTGAACAGCTTGCTTATTCTTGTAGTAGCCAGTCATACAGATACTTTTGTTTTTAGTTTTTCACGATCTTTCTTTGAAGATGTTTTCCTGTCATTCTAGCTGTTCCAGGATGGTTTACGTGTCCTAGCTAGTGGGAATTTCCCACCTCAGAAGGTTCTGAATGGGACTCAGGAATCCACCTAAAATCCTATAGCCTGCAAAGGCTCCGCAAGAGGCCTATTTCACTGGGTAAGTTCTAGAAACCTTTTTAGGTATTTCAATCAGTTATAGGCTGAAGACAGGCTTACAAGTTTTCTGTCTTCAGAACATGTTTCCCGACATTCCTTTCTATCCCACTCAAGTGTCTATTTTATAATAGTAGGCAAAGGAAACCATTATTAATAAGACAGTCAAGCATCTTAGTACTATTTCTACTCTTCAAATTATGCCTAGATCCTCCGAGGTTGACCATGTATCACTATTAACCTCTGTCCCACTTAGCCCATGAAAATCTGTCTCAGTGTTCCCCTATCTATCTTGTTCTTCCACCTCCTCTCCCTTCTTGTATTGCCCTCCCCAAAACCCAAACTAAACCCCACATCCCAACACATAGTTGTGGTTACCTTATATTCCATTGACTAGTCCCTCCCTTTAAGACAGTCTATTTTATTCTGTAATTTATATGACCTTCTCACCACCTGGATCTCTGTTCCTCTGAGTTTACCTTCTTTCACATTATAATAGTTTTGATCATAGACTCACCACCCAATCCTCTGTTCTTATCATTTTATTCTATTCTTGACTCTTCCATTTATCGATTGAGTTCAGGGTAATGCTGCCATGTACATCAATCTCTGGTTGTTGTCTGTTTTTTTGGTTCTCAGTCCACAGAACTTTCTTTAGGATGTTTTTCATCACAGGTTTGGCTTTGGAAAATCCCTTAGGTTCTGTTTTTCCTGGAATGTTTTGATCACATAGTATTTGATTGACAGCTTTGCTGGGTGGAGGATTCTTGGTTGGCAGTTTTTTTTTCTTTCAGGGTTTTATATATGTCTCCCCATTGCCTTCTTTTTTAAATGAATGTTTTATTGCAAATTATGTGATAGTTTACATGGAAGAACATTAGTTTTACATTAATTCTACTGTATATCATTTCTTTGCCGTAGTTACAGTCCCATCCATGCATCATCAACCAACCAAAGGTTATACCCTGCAAGCCTTCCCCTCCCTGCCTAGACAGATTGGATACTACTCACTGGAGACTCTACTTTCCTCCATGCCCTCTGGATCTAGGTTCCCTCTTGAAAGCTTGTAAGCCAGTCACTTCTTGCTTTTATAGCCCTCCCACCCCCATTTTGGGTAGCCAATGACCAAGTTGCCTTAGTTGTCTACTCTTTGTGTGGAGGAGGTCGGAATGATTCTTGCAGTAAGGATTTGCTTCCTCTTTTGAACTAGTGCATCCATAGATGTAGGTCAAGTTTGTTACAATATCAGGTCTGCCATTTTAGGCTGTACCTTCCGGGTTCTTCCCTCTCCTCTCCCTTCAACTCCATTTTGTCTGTTTCCCCACCCTAAGCTACAAGGGGCATAGTTTAAAGGGCAACATGGCTTTTGATAGGCCACAGCTGAATCACCTTAGCAATGACCACTCCCTTCCTGTTGAACCTATATAAGACCACTCCCTTCCCGTTGACCTTCTCTTTGCCCTCTTCTTCTTTCTGTCCTCTCTTCTCTTCTTCTTCTTCTCCCTTTCTTTCTGCCTTCTGCTTTCTCTCTCTGGCAGAGGTCACCTTCCTCTTCCTAACCCTGAATAAAAGTCTCTAGACAGACTATCTGGTGTGCGATGTGGTTGATGAGCAGCACGGGTTGTTGCTTTCCTTTCTTTGGTGTCAGAAGTGGCATCCTAACCCACTCATTTCAACATGCCCTCCCAGCGCCTGCGATCATCTTCCCTGATGCCTTCTTAGCACCCGTCACTGGCAAGAGTTAATTCTTCAGCCCTCTGGCTCGGGTAAGTCCCCTTTTGTGGATGCCCTGGGTGTGGAGATTTGGACTCTGGTAACCAGGACATAAGACTCCGTCCGGGACACAGACCGGACGTCAGGTTCTGTGTCTCTCATAGTGAGTTCAGAACTCACCAGAACAAGTCCGGGATTTGTCCGTTCTGTCCCCTGCCTGCTGGAGGGATGCCTCAGAGGGTGGTGCAGCCTCCTTTTATAGACTCCCTCCTTGTGGCAGGACGCCTCCACTGGGAGCCTGGGTCTCCATACCTCAGACCGGGTCTGAGGTGTGAGCACTGTCTCAACCTCAAAAGACGTCTTAGGTTCCAGGCACTGTTCGTTGTCTTATTACTGGTTGCTATGGATTCCGGGTCCTCCATACGGGCAGAGTCCCCCTTAGGGTGTTTGCTCTTAAACCTTGAGGGCTTAGACCTTGACTAAGCGTCTTATACATGTATCTACTCAAATTTGGCCTCAATACAAATTAGACAACCAAAATACCTGGCCGCCTAATGGCTCGTTCGAATCAGGTCTAATCCAAGATCTATTTAACTTTTGTGAGTGCTAGGGAAAATGGTCAGAGATCCTGTATATCCAGGGATTTCTTACCTTCGACTTTCTCTTAGTTCCATTGCTTGTACTACATCAACCAATTTGACCCAGCTGGAACCTTCTCCCTATCAAAAAGCTCCATTGCTTGTCCTTTTGACTCCATCAGCCAGTATGACCCAGCTGATGAACCCCCTCCCTATCAAAGAGCCCCAAGTGCACCTCCACCCCCCACTTTGGTCCCTTTCTCACCTTCTTCAGGTCCCCAGGAACTTCCCTTACCATGTTCTTCTTCTTCTCCCGCCACTTCCCTTCCATATGCACCACCTCATACTGGTTCCAAATCTCGAATGTTAATGGACCCTGAGTTTTCTCAGCCCAGTCATATAATAGCACCCTTGCAGGAAGTGGCTGGGGCAGAAAGGCAGAGTTAGCTTTAATTCAATCTAGACTTGGGTCTTTTACTTCAAATTCTGCAACTTTTATTAAGCAGTTTTAATTTCTAATGCAATCTTACCAACTAACTTATCATGATATTTTTGTTGTTTTAACTAGCTCTTTAACCCCTGAGGAGGGTAGGCGAGTGCTGGAACAGGCCCATGCTCATGCAGACCAGGAACACCTTACCAATAACAATCACCCAGCAGGAGCCGAAGCCGTTCCTGACAGGGACCCCGGGTGGAATTATAATACCCAGGCAGGTATTGTCAACTGAGATAGGTATATTAATTGTATACTTCATGGGCTGTGCAAGGCAGCCATGAAAGCAGTTAATTATGACAAATTTAGTGAAATTATTCAAGATAAGAATGAAAATCCTTCCGCATTTCTCCAGAGGCTCACTGATGGCCTGCGGCAATATACTAATCTCGATCCAGACTCTGCCAATGGCCAAAGGTTAATTATGGTGCATTTTTTTCTGTCAGAGTTACCCCGACATCAAAATAAAACTTAAGAGGCTAGAAAGGGGTCCCCTAACCCCTCAAGCAGAGGCTCTCGCTGTTGCATTTAAAGCCTACAATGGCCGAGATGATGCAAAGGCTGTAAAAAAGTACCAGTTATTAGCTCAGGCCATCAACCCCACCTTGCCACCACGTGTAAGAGGGAAACCTGCAAAGCCTCTGGGACCCTGCTTCCGGTGCAACCAGGGTGGACATTGGGCCAAAGAATGCCCAAATCCCAAACCTCCCACCAGGCTCTGCCCCAAATGTAAGCAGAAGGGACATTGGGGTTTTGACTGCCCCTTGGCGTCTACCCGCCATCCGGTCGCTGGCTCCCCAGTCCCCTCAAGCGACCTTATTGGTCTAGTGGCAGAAGACCTATGAGGAGGCCCTGGCTTGTCTGTCCCAATGCGGATCACCGCCCAGGAGCCCAGGGTAACTTTCACTGTGGCAGGTATGATCACCTTTTTACTCAGTACTAGTACTACTTTTTCTGCATTGCAGGAATTCTGGGGACCCACCTCCCTGTGCGGGACCTCTATTGTTGGGGTAGAAGGCCAAAGACGACGCCCTTGGCAAACTCCCCTCCTTTTATGCAAAATTGGCGATTTTGAATTTTTACATTCCTTTTTAGTCCTTCCCTCTTGCCCCTTACCTTTATTAGAGTGGCACATCTTCTTGGCACCCCCTCAAGTTTGACTTTCAGGGCCTCTCTAGTACTCCAACATCTTCCTTTTGCCTCTTACTATCACAGGCTATTGAACCTCAAGCCCTTCCTTCCCAGTGGCCCATCAGTCCCAACCTTGTGAATCCTAAAATTTGGGACATACATTCCCCTTCAATAGCCAAATGCCCTCCAGTCAAAATCCTCCTAAAAAATCCCACCCATTTCCCAGCTCAAGCACAATACCCTCTCTACAGCCAATTGTTAAAGAATTACTTAAAAAAAGATTTCTAAAACCAATGAATTCCCCCTACAATACCCCCATCCTGGCAGTCAAAAAGCCCAATGGGGCCTACCACCTAGTTCAAGACCTTTGGCTTATTAATGCAGCTGCAGTTCCAGTTCATCCAGTAGTCCCCAATCCTTACACTCTTCTGTCTTCCATTCCCTCTAGAACTACACATTTCTCAGTTATTGATTTAAAAGATGCCTTTTTTTCTATCCCCTTGCACTCAGATTCCCAAAATATTTTTGCTTTCACTTGGACCGATCCTACATCAAAGGTGTCCCCACTCAGCTAACCTCGACAGTCTTGCCACAAGATTTCCGGGATATTTCTCATCTCTTTGGACAAATCCTAGCCCAAGACCTGTCCCTTCTTCACTTACGGACCTCCCATTGTATTCAGTATGTAGATGATCTCCTACTTTGTGCCCCATCACTTGCAGAGATCCAGCAAGATACCTATGCTCTTCTTAATTATATTGCAGAAAGAGGCTATCGAGTTTCACCCACAAAAGTCCAACTTTTTAAACAGCAAGTCATATATTTAGGGGTGTCTTTGTCTCCGGGTTTCAAATCCATTACCGTTGACAGAAAACAAATGCTTTGAGACATCCCAATACCTGTTAATAAACAAGAGCTCCTTTCCTTTTTAGGCCTAGCAGGATATCTCAGGACCTGGATCCCAAATTATTCCCTTTTAGCAGTACCCCTTTATGATGCCTCATAAGGCAATCATCATGAACCCTTAGACCCTTCTATTGCTATCCCATTTTTACAGCTTAAGTCCCAATTGCTAGAAGCCTCAGCCCTGCATTTACCTGATTTTACCCATCCCTTTTATCTTTATGTGTCTGAAAATAAAGGGTTTGCACTAGGAGTTTTAGGCCACCAATTAGGCCCTACATTTTCTCCAGTAGCTTAATTATAAAAAAAACAAAAAAAAAAAAACAACTGGATCCTACCATATGAGGATGGGAATCTTGTTTACAGAGCTTAGCTGCCACCTCCCTTTTAATCCAAGAATCAAAAAAAAAAAAATAACTTTTGGAGCCCCAACTATTGTCTTATCCCATCATGCTATTGCTGATTTGTTAAACTATAAAAACCTACAGGATTTACCCCTTGTAGGATTCTTTTGTTTCAAACCTCACTCCTTCATGAACCCTCATTAACCTTCCAGGTGTGCCCGGTCCTTAATCCTTCCACCCTACTCCCTGTGCGAGACCAGGAACCGATTCACAATTGTTTAGAAGTCTTAGAAGTCTTGCCATATGACTAGCACATCCAGGAAGGACCTCTTTCCTCCCCCGACCTAATTTGGTATACTGATGGTAGTTCTTTCTCCCAAGATAAAATCAAGCGGGCAAGCATAGCCACTGGAACTGCAAGCATTTCCCATTAATGGAGGTTTTGCTAGTTGGTTCCATAATCCTCTATTAAATTCCCTGCTTCCCTTTCTAACCCCACTATTGGTTATCCTCACTTTACTGGCAGTTGCCCTTTGTGTTCTTTGTTTTGTTCAGTTACAGATTGGCTGCATATCCAAATTTCCCAGTAAGCTGTTAAGACCTAAAACTGCAGGACCAACCTTAGTCCAGCTGCTGACCCGGTTACAACACCACCAACAATGACAAAGCCATCGCCGACCATGGTCCAAGCCCAAAGACCAAAGACAGACTCGTTGCCCCAATGCCAGCAGGAAATAGCTACGGAAAAATGATCATCGTCCCTTCTCTCATGAGCATGGATCATAGAGACGGCCATTCATTTTTCTTGTTTAACCAAAGAGGGGGAAAATGTTACAATATCAGGTCCACCATTTTAGGCTGTACCTTCTGTGTTCTTTCCTCTCCTCTCCCTTCAACTCCATTTTGTCTGTTTCCCCGCCCTAAGCTACAAGGTAAGTAGTTTAAAGGGCAACATGGCTTTTGATAGGCCACAGCTGAATCACCTTAGCAATGACCACTCCCTACCTGTTGAACCTATATATGATCGCTCCCTTCCCGTTGACCCTTTCTTCTCCCTCTTCTTCTTTCTGTCCTCTTTTCTCTCTTCTCTTCTTCCTCTTCTCCCCTTCTTTCTGCCTTCTGCTTTCTCTCTCCGGCAGAGGTCACCTTCCTCTTCCTAACCCTGAATAAAAGTCTCTAGACAGACCGTCTGGTGTGCAGTGTGGTTGATGAGCAGCACGGGTTGTTGCTTTCCTTTCAAAGTTCATCAAATTGTCTCAGATTATGTTTCTTTCCTCTTCTTTCTTCTTTGGGTTGAGCTCTGATCATCCAGTTATTGAAGCCAGGTCAAGTAGGTATTATCTACAAGTTTGGGTATTCTTGCGCCTATCTGCTCTCTTCTTATCAGCTGGACATTTCACTCTCCAATCTAGTCCTCTGTGGCTGTGTCACTGACTCTAGGGTCAAGAGTTCCCAGGTCTTGCCACACTGCTGACCAACCGGGTCTCCACCCGGGTTCACAGGAGTATATTGAATGTTGTAGGGCTTAGCTCGCCACTTCATTGCTGTTTTTCCCTCACTTCCCCTTATGGGTGACGTGTGTGGTCGCCAATCAGAGCATGTATTCCCATTGAGTCTTAGTCTTGGAAGAGAATTTGCACTGAGGGGACCTGATCACTTGCCTTGATGTCTCCTGGGCAAGTAACTTGCTTATTCTTGTAGTAACAGTCGGTCTGCCTCTATTGTTTTGTATTTTTCCTGTAGGTCTTTCTTTCAAGAAGCATCTTCTGTTTTTCTAGCTGCTTCAGGCTGGTCTGGTCGGAACCGACATGACGGCACTTAACAACAATAACATCAGGCTGGTCTGCTTGTCCTTTCAAGTGGAAATTTCCCATCTCTGAAGATCTGGATATGGTTCAGGCTTCCACCTATAGTCTTATGTAATGCAGAGGCACCTCAGGAAGCCTTCTTCACTGGGCACGTCATAGCCCCACTTTAGGTATTCCAATCAGTTATAGGCAGAAGATGGACTTACAAGCTTTCTATGGTGATATTTCTGGCTATTCCTTTCTCTCCCCTTCCAGTGTCTATTTTATAATATAATGCATGGAAAATCAAGATTCAAAAGATAGCCAAGCATCTTACCATCTTTAATCCATGTTGAGTTCATTTTT